TAGTTTCATATATGAAATTTTGAGTTATAAGTAACTTTTGCCAAAACGAACGTTTGTTTTGAATCTTCCTGATCGTGTTACGTTACACCTGATCTTGAGATTTGATTGGTCAATCATCTAAAATGCGATATATAAGCACATCGCAGGTTGCGATGCCTAATTAAGTCCTTTTATTTTATTATGTTAATAATATTTTTAGATGTTATTTGAAATTTTAAAACGTAAAAGTTAATTTTATTAAATTTTTTAATAGGACGTATTTCTGATTATGAGACTGAAAAAGTTGATAATCCAATTGGTGTTAATGGTTCTAATGTGCTATTTCCGACTGCAGTTGCAAAACTTGAAGTTGCAAAACTTCCACCTCACGTATTTAGAAGGTTCATTCTTGTAAAAGTTGAAGACGTTACGAGATATGATGCTGAAATTCCTGTGAAAAAGTTTACTTTTCAAATCATTCATCCATTTGATAAATTACCAAAAATTTTACCTGGTGATTATATTGAAGTTATGAGCTATACAAACAAGTCTACTATTGTTCGACAATATACTGCACTTAAAGGACCTTCTGAAAATACCTTTTCAATCATTGTAAAAATTTATAAAGATGGTGTTATGTCTCAACATTTGGTAAAGTTGTCTTTTTTTTTTTATAATTATTATTCAATTCATTTTAACTTACAGCATCTTTTTTTCGAATATATAGCATAAACAACTTATAAATTTCGAGGTTGCTGTTCGAGGACCATTTGATGTTTCTGATCGAATTATACCAACTTCATCTATCATTCCTAATTTTGAACCATCAGGATTACGATATAGACCTTCTACTCGTCATGGTACCCTTTCAGTTGTTAGCAGTAAATTTAAACCACCAATAACTGATGATTCTAGTGAAGATGAATCCCCAGCTTCATCAAGAATTTTAATGAATCATAAAAGAGATGACAAGTGTTGGGACCGTCTATTTCTTATCTGTGGAGGTTCAGGTAAACTATCGTTTTTTTTAAAAATTGGTTATTTTTTTTTCCATTCTAACAGTAAATACTTATATAAATTTAGGCATAACACCGGGGCTTCAATTGGTAGGTCTTTTAAAATTATCTATATTTGTAAAAACATTTTTTTACTATCGTTATTATAGTAATTTACTAATATTTAATTCTATAATTACTTTATATAGATCGAATATCATTTAGATCAAGCAGAAGAATTAAATTCTAATTTTAATATTCATCTAATTTTTGCCAATCATTCAATTGAAGATATTATCAATTATAAATATCTTACGTTTCTTCAAGAAAATAGTGATAACAAATTTACAGTAGATTTTATTTTATCAAAAGCACCACCGGCATGGAATGGTTATGTAGGACACCTAGATGATAGATTAATATACTATTGGATGCGTCAACGTTATAAAATTGATTTACCACCAAAAATTCCAGAAAGACCAAATATTACACAATCACGTACTTCTAATCGTAATAATGAAACAGATGAAATTTATTTTGAAGATACTTCTGCAATTCATTCTGATGAAGATAATGATACTTCTTCAACTGCCAGAGGTCATTCTATTATTTCAAATAGAACATTAACTTCACGTCCACCAACAAGTGTTTTGTTAATGATGAATGAAATACAAGAATATATGGATCTTTTATTAAAAGATGATTCACAAGAAATAAGAGTCATGGTTTGTGGACCTCCAGCTATGATGGATAGTATCAGAATAAACTTAGGAAAATTAGGATTCCCTGATGAAAAAGTCATATTCATTTCATAATTATTATAATTATTTACGAATATTTTTATTTGAATTTTATTTCATTATCATTTGACGAATTAAAAATTTCACTTTTCAACGTTAAAAAAACAAAAACATTATAATAGGAAATAAACCTCTATAACATGCTTAGTATTATCAGTTATAATTCATATTCAAATAACACTTTTTCATAATTTAAATTATGTTTATTTATGTTTATATTCAATAAATACCAATTATTGATGATTTTTTGAAATTGCGTATCATTATATTCGGTCTTGAAAAGAAATTCTTAAATAAATCGATCTCAATAATAATATTCACAAAGTTTTTATGTAAGTAAAAATATTTCTAAACCAATTATACTATGAAGCAGGCCTAATTCTTTTTTTTAATTTAACTAGAAAAGAAATTCCTAGAATGGACCGGGATTTACATTTTTATCATTGTATGTAACTTTAAAAAAACTATCTGTACATGGTGTCCACGCTACTTTGTAAACCTTTAGGTCTAATGCTAACTTAAAATTGTAAAATAGAAGAGATGATCATATACGTATAACTCGTTATTGATAAAACAATCATAAATGATGACATCAGAAACATGTTCATTAATTTATTTTGATTATTAATTTGTTAGAGAGGTGTAACTGAAAATGGTCCGGAAATAATTTCACTCTGCGAATTATCGTCCACTGCGTGCTAATATTTCGATAATCTTGCCATTTATATCAAATGCCTCTTAAACACGGAAAAAAATTTGTTGCATATTATTTTCTGAATCTTCTTTAGACCACTGTAGAATTAGGCATTATTAAGTATTATTGATAGACTAGTGCAATCTTTACGTAAACGCGACTACACCCAAGTTGAGACATCAGATTTTAATATGAACGTTATGCTTTTAGTGGTAACGTCATAAGAAATTAGACTTTTTTGTTTAAACGGTTAAAATATGAAGGAATTATAGCACGGCCACTATTGATCATGAGTGTTACACCGTTTATGTTATAAAATTACTTTCTTTTTATTACGTCATTCATGCTAAACTTGCGCGAAGATGTTTTTATTGATAATTTATTATACATTAGGAATTTTAAAATTGATCTCTTCACTAATGATTTTTACTATATGTCTTGCTAAATTTGTGATTAAACTGATTGGTGATACCCCAATCAAAATGCAACTTTTGTACCCATGAGATATATTATACAGTTATCAAAAAAGAGTGCTTTATTGTGATCTATAAATGCAACGTATATGAATATTACGTCAATAGAATAACTTTTATTATTTGGGTAGACCATCAGACACTTGAGTAACTTTTCTATAAAGTACAGTTGAAAGGATGCTTGATGCGATAGGTTGTAATATTGTAGGCCTTTGATTTTTAAGTGAAATATAAGCCAGAAAAAAAACATATGAATGCTAATAGAATGTTAAGATATCCTAACCCTTTTATGCAAAAGAGGCGTATCAATAAGCAATGTATCAAAAATTTACTAATAAAGATTAGAATATAAGAAGTGAAAATACATAATTTCAAGGCTATTAAATATTATTTAATTTACTTCAAGTGGCCAGCTAACATGGTGAATAAATCTATACACTGACTTAGATGACAATTAAAAATTTATTGTTTAATAGGAGATTAATTGTTTTAAAGAATAGCTGAGGATAAGCCTCCCAAGAAAGTAATTTACAATGAGATTGAAATGGCCATATTCTGAAGACAAGTTATAAAAGTCTTGTGGTAGAAGGTATTATAGAGAAATTAACACTATGATGTATAAATATTGATGAATTATGAGTGAGGTGTTAGAAATATATATAATAATATTAAAGGTTATGTGATGACATGTAAGATATATTAGAAATATGAAGAAAAAATAATCAAGAAACCCATCTATGTACTAGCCACTGGCTAGATATTTCACAAGCTGTTTGTTGATTATATAGAACCTCTGTTTAAGACAAGTGCGGGGTATAAATATATAGTCATAGGTGTTGAGAATCTTATAGCTTTATTGAAACATGCCTGTTGAGGAAGAAAAATACAAAATCCATAGCTACATTTGTGTGGGAGGATATAATAACTCAATACAAATATTTTGCAGAGTTGGTGTTAGATCATAGAACTAAATTTAAGAATACTTTGGTGAATGAGCTAATCAACATTTAGATGTTGAACAATGTTTTAGTGCTAGTTACTATCTTGAAACCAATGGAAGGGCAGAATAAACTGTGCAGATATTTACTCACATATTAAGAAAGATATGCACTAAAAAGCAAAACTGACAGTATAAATATATATGTGAGGCTGTTTAAATATTAAATATAACTGTGAATTATCTTGGATACTTGCTTTTTCATTTAGTATATAGTAGAAATGTTATAGTCCTAATCGAATTAATACTTGACAGTTATTAGATAGTCTACTAATAAATTGCTAGAATTCTGAATTCTGAAAATAAAGAGATTATTCAAAGAATTAAAGCAAGCATGTCAAAGCCAGGATAAAATCTGCAAAAAATAGAAAAAATTCTATAACTAACATACCAACTAGCACAAAAAAAAATAAATATAGGTGACATAGTGTTAGTATATGATTTAATCTTGGATATGACCTACTTGAAAAAGTTTGATTATCACTAAATGGGTTTCTATGTGGTTAGAGCTATTGGAAATCATAGTCAGTATTATTTAAGTAAGATAGATAGTACAGAATTAGAGAACTCACTTACTTAAAATAGAATTAAATAGTTGTATTAAAGAGCGAAAGAGGATAGGGATTATGATCTGAGGACAACAATTATGAGAATTTAGCTCCTGTAGCAGAATAATATATTAGAAATATTTAAATCAAAATGTAAAATTACAGTACAAAAAAAAATATACAGTCTAACAATAAATGAAATGATAGAGCAGACATTTTAGCTAGAAAAGATGCTATAGTAGAAAATAGAGATAGTATCATTTTTAACCCCATTTAGATCTAATGTTTCACTTTTCTGGGACGAGATATTCGTCAAACATCTAGCGAGAGAAATAACCAAGATACTCCTTGACTTCAAGATTGATGCGAACTGGAAAGAATTGAAAGCAATCCAAAGAGTTGAACCAGAAGAAGCTCATAAAGAAAATAACTGGTCTTATTTATAGAAAAAAATTGAGAAAAGCAATAGTATTAGACGTACAACAACTAAGAAAAGCAAATGTCTAGAAACCTTGTTCAAGTGTGCCAATGAGATGCTTTCTGTATTTGGTATATTAGCACAGAGACGTCTAGATTTATATCAAGATCTAAGTTGTATTGTTTGTAAAGAAAAGAAGGTAAAAAATCAAGATCACCTAGCATGTTGCAAAGAACAAAAGATGAATTGGAAGACCGCTAAAGACCTTGCAGCAAAACTAGCCTGGGCAACTTTATTAGAAGAAACAAAAAGAAGAACAGACAAAGTCCTTCTAAAAAAAATGCTCTGGGGAGAATTCATAGAAAAATTCCACAAAATAAGATCCAAGGCAATTAAAGGTCTGGTTCAAGAAAAAATGATAGAAAAGATACAGGAATCCTTACAATTAAGTAAAGAAGCTAAGACATATATTGAACTAGCTTTAAATATAGTTTGGAATTGCTTTCATAAAAATATTTGGAAAAAAAGATGTGAACTTCTTCACAAATAGAAAATTAGTAGAGGAATCACAACCAAAGATAAAAAATGAGGAAACAAGATTTCAACTGAAGAAAGAAGAACAAATCCAGAATATGATGAATCAAGATTCAAAGAAGGGAGTTTAAAACAATTTAGTAGATTAGATAAAATAGATAAAAAAAAAAAAAAGAAAAAAAAAGAGGAGGGTTTAAAAAAGATAGAAAACTGTTTGATAAATAGTTTTAGAGACTAATTCAAAATAGCTGCAAGCCTTTTTGGTATGGTTTGTACAGCTAATCTGGTATTAGCCTTCTGGTCTTGAAATAATTTTTTCAGATCATATAGCAGACTGCTTCTGGGTACCCACGAGGTAGCCAGGGAATATCAGGCCTAAATATTAAGCTCAACATTATGTAATTTACTTATATAATAATTTTAATAAAGGATCACTGGCAAGGTTGCCAAA